AAAAAAAAAAAAAAAAGACAAATATTGGAATAAAATTCATTCTACTTGAAAAAGAAAGAAGAGCTATTGGTGGAGTCCAGTGGAGGAGCTTCATTTAAAAATTAAGAACACAGTTAAATGAATCTTAAAATCAGTTCTTAGGGATTAACAGATCATATTGCTGAGCACCACATCCAGATCCAGGAAGTATTTTTGTTATCTCCATTTTAAAACTTAATTTTTCTCTGTCTCTTGACCTCATGTTAAGTGTATTCCTCCCAAGACTTTCACATTTTTGGTAACATCAAGCTCCCACATAGTCAACTGTGGATCATTTTAAGACTGACTCTTAAAGTAACATGAAATTGCAGTTCTTCACTGAGGCCTAATAATGAGTTCACTGGATGTGGATTTATCCAAAAACTGCATTATCGCTGTATTGAATGGATGGGGGAAGGAACAGGGAGGTATGTAAATATGTTAAAATCTTCATAAAATTGGGGCGCCTGGGTGGCTCAGTCATTAAGCGTCTGCCTTCGGCTCAGGTCATGATCCCAGGGTCCTGGGATCGAGCCCCGCATCGGGCTCCCTGCTCTGCGGGAAGCCTGCTTCTCCTTTTCCCATTCCCCCTGCTTGTGTTCCTTCTCTCGCTGTGTCTCTCTCTGTCAAATAAATAAATAAAATCTTTAAAAAAAAAAAACTTCATAAATTTATTCTAATCAGTGGATAACCTCTCCAGTTGATTAATCAAGATATGGCAATATACACACAGTATTTAGAAATATGAAGGATAAATACTAGGAGAGATAGCTACAAATTCTGAAATTGTTGGTCTCTAGAGAACGAGAAGAGAAGGTAGCAAGGAGACTGCTGTTTTTTTGTTAATAACCTTCTAACATGAGTAGTATTCCTTTGTTAAATTTTGTAAAAGAAAAAAAAACATAAATGTGATGCTGTAAATACGTGGCTATTCTAGTTCCCATAAGATGTCACAGCCTTTAAATACATATATTTAAAGAGCTGATTATCCAGAGATTAATAACAAACAAATCCATGGATTACGGTTCTAGTCTATTGGCAGTTTGTGTACTTAAAACTTTTGTGTAGCTAGGGCGCCTGGGTGGCTCAGTTGGTTGGGCGACTGCCTTCGGCTCAGGTCATGATCCTGGAGTCCCGGGATCAAGTCCCACATCGGGCTCCCTGCTCAGCAGGGGGGTCTGCTTCTCCCTCTGACCCTCCTCCCTCTCATGCTCTCTCTCATTCTCTCTCTCGCAAATAAATAAAAAATCTTAAAAAAATAAAAAAAATAAAAAAATAAAATAAAACTTTTTGTAGCTAAAATTGGACTCCAAAATAGTGGGTACTAGTACCTGAAAGAATTTGAATGCTGTCTTTCCCATGTAAAAATAGAACATTCCTTAAATTCAATCCATGTTTGTGATATCCAAGCTTCATTTTATTTAATGACCTCAAAAAACAAGTTAAAACTCCTTCAAATGCAGAGTAAGGCAATTTGAGAATGAAAGTGCAAATAACACAGTTCATTAATCTGCTAATCTTTTTTCTCTTGAGTCTTTATTAGCATATGATGTACACATTAATATATAATCTCAATCAGATCAAGGATCTCATCTGGTTTATATTTCTGGGGTTTAGAAGAGAGCCTGGCATACAGTATGAGAATAAAATATATTTGTTAAGTGATTAATGAAATTCAATAAAACTTCATTTTGATATTGCACTATTTAAGAAAAAAACTAAATTGATGAGATCTTTCTAAAATAGAAAATAAAAATAAAACCATTTTTCCTCTTTAGCCTGTGCTTGTTGATGGGACATATGTGAGTCTCGTTGCTGTGATAAAAATGTGCTTATTTGTGAGAAACATAATGGTAAGTGCACTCAATTTGCTTATTATTCCTTAGGCCTATTACTACTGTGCCATCATAGAGGATGTGATTCTGCGCTTTGCTTGGACTGTCCAAATCTCAATTACCTCCATGACATTGTCGCCTCATTCTGGGGACATCGTTGCTACTGTCTTTGCTCCCCTTGAGGTTTTCCGGTAAGCAAACTACCAAAAAGTCCATCGAAGTTTTTTTCCCTTAGAAGACACCCAATACTTACAAGTTAGAATTTATTAAAACTTATACTTGAAAGGCTTAAATTTCCCAACTTTTCTCAAACTTCTCATGGCATCAGAGTTGGAAAATCCTCCTTGAAGGTCTAAGAGGTTAATTCTTACAAAGTTAAAAATACTACTAATGATGGCTTATAAGCTTTTTCTAGAATTGGGCTCCATTAGAAGGGTCATGAATGGAAATTGGGAGGTAAAAAGTCTTAATAGAAATTAAAATAAAAATCTTTTGAGAATCATTATTTGCAATTTGACATTCTGGGTTATTCAGGCAGCTTTTTCACTGGAAACAAAGGAAATGCCAGAGGAATTGTCTTTTAAATCTTCCTAAAGACATCAGTGATCTAACAAGATAGCCTAAAATCTGAGTAAAAGCAGATACCCCAAGGTAAGCGAAGCATTAAAGCTAATTTTGCTTTAAAGAAATTTGCTAAACCTAGAGACTTTTGAGATTCAGTTGTGATAACAAGTTCAAATTTGTTTGACCTAATAACATAGCTTGAAAATATGTAAAACAAAAGCTGATGTTGCTAAAAAGTAGTAGATAAATTTACAATTTTAGAGGAAGATTATAACATACTTTTCTCAGTAATAAACAAATAGTCCCATTAACCAACTTGACCTAATTGACCTATACAGAGCACTGCATTCAACAAGTAAATACACATTCTTTTACTTGCATGTAGAACATTTACCAAAATTAACCACGTGCTGCACCATAAAGTAAGTTTCAACAAATTTCATAGGATTAAAATCACAAAAAGATAACTGAGAATCCCCAAATGTTTAGAAATCAAGCAATACATGTCTAAATAAACCATGGGTCAAAGTTGAAATTGTAATGGAAATTTTAAAATATTTTGAGCATAATGAAACTGATAATGTGACAGAACAAAATGCAAGTTAAAGCCATGCCAAGAGGGCAATATGTAGCTTTAAATGTGTACATTGGAAAAATAAACAGCTTCAAGAAAATTTTAAAACAGCAAATCAAACCCAAACGAAAGTAGAAAGAAGGAAATACAAAGAACAGAGATTAATGGAATAGAAAATATAAAGTAGAGAAAATTAGGCCAAAGTTCTTTAAAAAGATGAATAAAATTGGTAAAATGTCTAAGTGTGACTGATGGAGCAAAAAAGGAAAAAATGCACAAATTACAAATAACAAAAATCCTCAAGATATTTTTTTAAAAGAGTAAGATGAGGGGTGCCTGGGTGGCTCAGTCAGTTAAGTGTCTGACTCTTGATTTCAGCTCTGGTCATGATCTTAGGGTTGTGAGATCGAGCCCTGTGTCTGGCTCCATGCTGGTCATGGAGCTTGTTTAAGATTCTCTCTGTCTCCCTCACTCTCTACCCCTTCCCCGCTCCCCTTCTCTTAAAAAAAAAAAAAAAAAAGAGTAAGATGATTATTATGAGCAACTTTATGCCAATAAAGTAAAAAATTTAGATGGAATGGACAAATTCCTTGAAAAGCACTGTTTATTAAAACCAATAAAGAGATGGACATTAAGGAGGGCACGTGATGTAATGAGCACTGGGTATTATATAAGACTGGTGAATCACTGAACTCTACCTCTGAATCTGATAATACACTATATGTTAATTAATTGAATTTAAATAAAAAAATAAAACAATAAAGAAATATAAAATCTGATAGGTTTAGATCTATTAAAGAAATCATATTCATATTTAAATCCTTCTCACAAGGGGGGTGCCTGGGTGGCTCAGTAAGTTAAGCATCCAACTTGATTTCGGCTCAGGGTCATAATCTCAGGATCATGGGATGGGGCCCACATCAGCTCTGTGCTCAGCAGGGAGTCTGCTTGAGAGTCATTCCCTCTCCCTCTGCCCCCCCCCCATGTGCATGCACACACGATCTTTCTCTCTCTCTCAAATAAATAAATCTTTTTAAAAAAATCCTTCTCACAAGGAAAACTGTAGGTCCAGGGAATTCCTCCAAATATATGAGGAGGAAATATCAGTTGTACATAAAACTCTTCCAGAGGAAAGAGGCAATAAAAGGAACACTTCCCAGTTTATTTTGTGCAACCAGCGTGGCTTTGATATCTAAACCTACAAGGACATTCCAGGAAAGACCAACCAGTCTATCTCACGTAGAGTAATGCAAAACTTCTGAAGAAAATATTAGCTAATGAATCCAATAACATATAAAAAGCATAATACATCACAACCAAGTTAGTTTCATTCTAGGAATGTGAGATTTAATATTCAAAATCATTTAACATTTAAAAATTAATCTGTGTTAACTCACCACATTAATAGAATAAAGGGAGAACATCCTTCATGTGTGTAGAAAATACCATTGAGAAAAAGTCAGTACATGTTCATGAATAATTCAAAGATTATCTACAAAAAACATAAATAAGATCATATTTAATGGTAAAACACTGTAAGCTCTCCCTTGAGATCAGGAATGAGATTATTATGCATGTTGTCACTTCGTTTTAACATCATACCTCAAGTATAGGTAGTGTAGTGGAGGGTGGGGAGGAGACAGTGTAAGAATGAGAAAGGAGGAGCACCTGGGTGGCACAGTCTGCTAAGCGTCCAGCTCTTGGTTTGAGTTCAGGTTGTGATCTCAGAGTCGTGAGATCAAGCCCTGCGCTGGACTCCACTCACAATCTGCTTGAAATTCTTTCTCCCTCTCCTTCTGCCTCTCCCCCCAGCTTCCTTGCATGCATGCTCTTTCAAATAAATAAATCTTTTTTGAAAAAAAAGAATTAGAAAGGAAAAAAATAAAACTATTCATCCATGACATGATTGCATATGCAGAAAATTCAAAAGAATTTACAAATAAGCTGTTATTTTAATTGTAGCTGTGTCCTTGAATACAAGGTCAATATAAATAAAAATTTAGTGTTCTAAAAAACAATCCCAAATAACTAGAAAATGAAATTTTAAAAACCACACCATTTTGAATAGCATCAGAATATATCATATACCTAGGAATAAATTTAATGAATGATTATGTGTACAAAAATTGACAAGCCAGTTCTATAATTCATATGGAAATAGGACGAAGAATAGCTAAGACTAGGGGTGCCTGGGTGGCACAGTCAATTGAGCGTCCAACTCTTGGTTTGGCTCAGGTCTGATCTTATGATTGTGAGATCGAGCCCCGCCTTGGGCTTTATGCTCAGTGTGGAGTCTGCTTGGGTTTTTCTCTCCCTCTGTCCCCCCCTCCCCCGCTCGCTTGCTCTCTCTCTAAAAATAAATGAATAAAATCTTAAAAAAAAAAAAAAAAAAAGGATAGAACAGCCAAGACTATGCTGGAAAGAAAAAAGTTAAAGGACTCATACTCTGCAATATCAAGACTTACTATATAGCTACAGTAATTAAGACAGTGTCTGATATTAGTGAAAGAATAGACAAATAGTCCACTGGAACAGAATAAGGAGTCCAGAAACAGATTCACACATACATTGACACTACCTGATTTATGACAATGGGAAATGAATCTTGACTCTTATTGTATACTGTATACAGTATACAAAATCAGTTCCAGGTGGATTGGGGAACTAAATATGAAAGGTAATCAATAACCACTCTAGAACACAGGAGGGCGCCATAAAGGCAGCTTTGGGTGTGTGATAATATTATATTTTTTATTTCTGAGTGGTAATTACACAGTGTGATCACTTTATAATAAGTTGCCCACTTAATGATTTGCACAATTTTGTATATCTATGTAATACTTTAATTTAAATGCTTATTTTAAAGAAAGCAGCCTAAAAAAAGGATTATCATCAAAGAAGTGAGTTAGGTTGACTGCTGACTTCTCAACAGTAACAATGAAAATCAGAAGTCATTAAAATGATATTTTCAGAGTGCTGAAAGAAAATAATGGTCTACCTAGAACTCCTTCTCCATGGAAAATATCTTTCACAAATGAAAATGAAATAAAGATATTTTCAGACATGTTTATAGCATTCCTCTGAGTCAGGATGGGCACATCTATCACAAAGTCTGATAGAATAAGATGAAACCCAGAAACATTAAGATAAACCTGGAAGATAAAGGTTGAATCTGGAAACAGTGTACTTGTTGCTGTTAGTGCTCTTTCCCAATCATGTGTCAGCCCTCTTCGTCTTCACTTTCCCAGATGTCTAGGTCTAGGACCTGAGACTCTCCATCACTACAAGACCTACGGCCCTCCCAGTTCTTTCTCTTCCACATATGATGCTGCTTTATGAATTTAAAAAAAAAAATTTTTTTCTAGTAAAGAAAAAAAACTCACTTTTTAAATTCTTGATTATTTCATTTCTCCTTTAAAAATTATTTGCTTAATAGTAGAAGCAGGTGTTCTATCACCCATGAAAAACAAAAGCAAAAAGCCTCCTTTGAATCTACTTTCTTCCTCCAACTCTTGCCCATTTCTGTCTCCTTTACAGCAGAATTCTTCAAAAGATGTCTGTACTTGGTATCTCCACTGTCTCACTCCTCCCCATTCTTCCTTTAATTCAACTCAAATCTTTTTTCCCAATACTCAAACTCAATTGCTTTTGTTAATAATCTACAATAACAACAGTAATAATAACAGTAATAGCAGCAAACATTCATGTATTGCCCACTGTGTGCCTGGCACCATTCTAAACACTTTACATGTATTAACTTAGGAATCCTCATAACAGTCTTATGAGGTAGATACTGTTACTGTCCCATTTTGCTAATGACACTGAAGCATAGGTTAAGTAACTAATCCAAGGTCGTTATGCCTAGTAAATGGTGGAGTCATGATTTGAATCTAGACAGTCTTTCAGAATCTGTATTCTTGTATCATACTGCCTCTCTGTTTTGCTAAATCCAGCAGTCAGTTCTCTGTACCTACCTTACTTTACCTCTCAGCAAAGCCCTTTTTTCACTTCATTTCTCAGAAGCTATACCCTTACATCTTCCTAGCTGTTCCTTCTCAACTCCTTTACTGGTTCTTCCTCTTCCCAAATTGTAAATGTTGGACTGTTCCAGGGCTTAATCCTATGCCCACTTCTTGCCTCCACTTATATTCTTCCTAATCCCATGGCTTGTGCAGTTCTCCAGCCCTGGACTCTCCCTTGAACTGCAGACACATACCCATCTAGCCACGGGAATTTCCCCCTTTGCCTAGGCCATTCTGGTTCTCTCCCCACCCACCACCACACATCTTTTCCTGTTTTAATATTCTAACCCTTCATTCCTTGTTTTTATTTCATGAGTGGAAACTTGATATACAGGGAGGGTTACAGGTTACAATAGTAAGTTCAGATTTTATAAATAATTTGCCTACTTACCCCATTTTGCTAAGGCGATTTGTGTGGAACTTCTTCCGCCTGGAGAATGAGCATCTGAATAACTGTGGTGAATTCCGTGCCGTGCGGGACATCTCTGTGGCCCCTCTGAATGCGGATGATCAGACGCTCCTAGAACAGATGATGGACCAGGATGATGGGGTACGAAACCGCCAGAAGAACCGGCCATGGAAGTACAGCCAGAGCATATCCCTGCGCCGGCCTCGCCTCGCTTCTCAGTATGTATGCCTTCTGCTTCTCAGAGACGAATTTCCTTCAGGTTTTGGCCCTGGCTAACATTTAAACTAAGATGGTATGAGGTTGACCCACATGAAATTGCTGGCATTCAGCCATTTTTCACCTACAAGAAAGCAATAGCAGCAATTTCATATAATCCAACCTATAGAATGTCTGAACACATAGAGTAAAATGTCATTTATACATTAATTAATGCATTAAAGCTACAAATTTGACATTAAAAGTACACTGGGGAAAATTTGTTGGAGAATAATTTACTTGACACTTCAGTATGTTTTGTATACAAATAATTTTCAAGTTATAAACTTTAGGAATCCTGGCTCTGCCACTTGGCCTCTATGTAACCTTGACCAAATTACCTAATTTCTCTGTATTGCCCTTCATCTGAAAATTGGAATTAATATGATCCCTGCTTATAGAGTGGTTATGACATGGGATTTAGACCAGTTTCCTCACAGAAAGAGTTCTTATGTATAAATAGCTTATATAAATATAAGTTATTATTTTTATTTTTTTACTGAAGTAGCCACAACAGTATTTTTATAAGTCATTAACTTTGTGTGATCCTAAAAGGAACAATAAGTGTAGAATATATTGTGGCTGCATTTGGAACTTAGAGACAGTATTCACAGTGGATTGGAATGACGGGGAAGACTTAAGTTGAGCATGGGCAGTTGTCTAAAGGATAAAAGAGTGCTTGACTAGGACAGAGGCACAGTAAAGACATAGGGGTAGAAGGAAAGCCATGTGACTAGAACTATAGTAAAAAAAAATTTAGCTGAATGGATGAAGTATGATTGTAAAAGGCTGGAAAATACAAGCTTGATCATACATACAGGCAGGAAGGATTCAAAGAATGTTTTTCTTTTTTTTTTTTCGGAGAATGTTTTTCATGGAAGAATGACATGAAAGTAGTATTTTCATAAGTTTTAATGGCACTGTGCAAGATACTTTCGGAAATGGAACACTGAAGGCCAGAAGACCAACTGGAAGGCCACCACAGTATTCTGAAATATCAGACATCAAGGACTTGGGTTAGGATGCTTTACAATAGGACTAAAAATAATGTAAGGAGATGGTAAAGGAAGTAAAAAATAGGAGGTGGTAATAGTAACCCATAGATATAGGAGAGCAGAGTAGAAATTGCCCAAGCTTCAAATAGAATTTGGAAGTTCTCTGAAGAGGACAAGGTAGAGAAAAGAAAAGCAGGGAGCTAAGCCTGAGGAAACACAGGCAAGAGAAAAAGAATAAACAAAAGGAGCAGGAAAGGAATGGCCAGGGAGGTCATTGGCAAGAACATCAAAACAAGCATGAGACTGTTGTAGTAAGGAAGCAGAGTTTGAAGAAGCAGGAGGAGGGGGGTGCGAGGGATGGTGGGGTCAGCAAGGTAAGTGCCACAAAGGACTGGAGGACCGGAGGTCTCATTGAGCTACTAAATGTGAATGTCTTATCCTTGTTAGTCACCAGCAGAGGGCAATCTAAACATATACTATTTCAGCTTCAGAACCAGGGAAGCTCTTTGGAACTAGATTATTATGTTCAGTTTCAGGTGTTAAGTGGAAAAACACTGAGATACTAGATTGCAACCAGAGGAAGGTGTTTAGAACAATGGAACAGGTTATGTGCAATGGAGAGAGCAGGAAATCTAAAATAAGAAGTTCTGAATTTGAGTACTGACTTTGGGACTCCTGCAGCCTTTAGCACATCCTTTACCTTTTTGAATGTCGGTTTCTACCTCTGTCAAGGGGGAATAATGATACCTACTTCACGAAGTACCACTTGTACCTCATAGGGCTTATGAATTGCAGATTATTTTAACATTATCAAATCCCATTTTTCATCTAGTACAGGAATCTCTTCTACTGATTAGTTCATCTTATGCTAACTGACAGTTGTCAGTGATAATGAAGTTTATAACTAGATGGGGCACCTAGTTTTATTGTTGGATGGTTATCGTGGTGGATAGCTTATGTTAGGCTGAAATAGGCTTCACTGTAACTTTTACCAGTTGATCCTAGCTGGGCTCTCATAACTTAGTCTCCTTCCTCTTCTACATCATACCCTGTCAACTTTTTGAAGACCACTGTCATGCCTCTCCTTAGGTCTTATCTTCTCCTGGTTTACTCACCTAGTTCCATGTGTACCTCAAACGGCAGTATTTCTATCAATGCTCATCATAATTCCTTTACTGATGCTTTTTGCATCCATTTTCTCACTTGATATTGACACTGTCTCCATGAAGTAGGAGTACTATTATGTGAAATGGGTATTATTATTCCTGCTTTATAGAGATGAAGATTAACACTCAAAAAGGTACATCAGGGCGCCTGGGTGGCTCAGATGGTTAAGCGTCTGCCTTTGGCTCAGGTCATGATCTCAGGGTCCTGGGATCGAGTCCCGCATCGGGCTCCC